TTTAGCAGTTTTGCATGTAGATGCACATAAAAATGAGTTGCAACTTGCTGCAGAACAAGGGATTGTTTAGATCGCACAAATAAAAATCATGGTAATTGTTTTCCAAGTTGATATCTTCTTTTTTTTCAGTTGCCACTCGCTCATGATGAATTCTCATCACAAAATTTTACTTTATTCTCACTTGGGCTGGAAGGAAACGCTCCATTTGTGTCTATATCAACAGGATCTGTCAACAGTGTGATTTTACAGAAGTCATCTTCCTCTGCTGGGATGTACATATTGCCAACAGTGCTCTGAGAAAACAGAAAGATAAATGTTTGAAAAGAAATCAAACTCAGTTGCATTTGAAAAGCCATCATCAAATCATTTTAGAGACCACAACAACTGTTGTGATTATGGACTCAATTGATTCGAGAAACAGAGAAAGGATAACTCCTAAAAAAAACAAAATAAAAAAATGATTATATATTTAATTATATGTGACTGAATCAAAGCTATAACTTACATCTGCAACTTAATGAATCAGGACTTGTGCACAGATGTTGGACATATAATCTGTTTAAATTGTGGCCCCTTTATGGTGCATGATTTAGAAAAATCATAGATCCGCCACTGACTTGAACACAAACTGTATATTAAGGCGACCACTAGCAACCTGTTAGCTTAGCTGGCCAAAAAGACCAGAAGCATGGCAGAACAGCCTGACTATGTCCAGGGGAACCAGTACTACTAAAGCTCAGTTTCACACTTATGATTCTAATACTTAACTTCAGGTCAACCTCCTCACCTGTCAGGACAAATACTTCCCAAACCATCCTTCTATCCCTTTAACAATTCCAGGAGACACCACCATCAGGGTGTTAACCTCACCTTATTGTTGTTGTCAAAAATATCTGTGAGGTGGTCCCGAGGTTGTGGTACTTGAGGGAAGATGTGAATCCTAATCCTGTACGGTGAGAGTTAAAATATCAGAGTCAAAACAGATTCAAAAAATACTAGAATCAATAGCATCCAAGGAAACATTAATAAGACGATACACACTTCCTGCAACACACAAAGGTCAGGACTGTCAGGCCAGCCAGCACCAATGGGGTGAGGACGACGGCATACACCCACCCATAAGCATCCGTCTCTGCATCTGCATGTAAAAAAATCCACAATGTTATTATCAGCAGAGAGTGACTAACACAGCAACAGAGCTTAAACTGAAACCAAAAGAATTTACAACATAATGCAGAAGTCATCTTTGTCATAGAACGCTTCCTGAAACAGACTGTAGATGGGAGCATCACATTCAAATCCTACACACAGTGGCTTTAAAAGGCTTATTAGTT